CTAAGCATCAAGGTGAGGAGGAAAAAAGAAAATCTAAAGAGCTAAATGGTCTGGCCTTTGGCTCATTTTCCAGCCAATGCCTCACTCCCACCTACATACTCAACATCAGGATTTTTCTACACATGTCCAGTAAGCAGAGTAAATGGCAGAAAGTTTGAAGAGCAAGGTTTTTTTTTGAGACTTCGCTTTTCAAAGCAAATGGCTAGTTTCATGTTTGCTAAATCTGAGGACTTTGAAAATATAGCCTTACTGTCATTACTAGGATGGTTCTTATAGAAGCATGCTTATGGTTAGAACCCTTTATTTTCTTGTCATCTAGGGTGTGATATAGTCACTTGTTCTATATATCCAATATACACACCAAACACCTATTCTTCAGGAGTGCCATTACTTACTTACTTACTTACTTTCTTTCTCTCTCTCTCTCTCTCTCTCTCCAAGCAGAAAGACATCCACTCTCAATCTTAAATTAGAAAATTTAACAGAATTTCTGTTCCTTGATCTCAACTTTGTAAAGGTGGCCAGCATGCAAGTATTTTACATCCTTTCCAGCTTCACTCACATGCACTATAGCCACACTCTTCACATTTAATGAGTATCATGTTTGTTTGTGAAATATACAATATATTAAATGCTAGGTCTGATTTTTTTCTCAAATAAAAAATTGTTAAATCAACAATTACATGGAAGACTCAGTTATGGAGATACAGGTGTACTGACACATTCTCTTGTATACTAACTCTGTTTTTCCTTCATTACAGAAATGAGCCGTCAGACTGCTACAGCACTACCTACAGGTACTTCAAAGTGTACACCATCACAGAGAGTGCCTGCTCTGACTGGCACTACAGCTTCCAACAATGACTTGGCAAGTCTTTTTGAGTGTCCTGTGTGTTTTGACTATGTGCTGCCACCTATTCTTCAGTGTCAGAGTGGCCATCTTGTTTGTAGCAACTGTCGCCCCAAGCTTACATGCTGTCCAACTTGCCGAGGCCCACTGGGTTCCATTCGTAACTTGGCTATGGAAAAAGTTGCCAATTCTGTACTGTTCCCATGTAAATACGCCTCTTCTGGATGTGAGATAACTTTGCCACACACAGAAAAAGCAGACCATGAAGAGCTGTGTGAGTTTAGGCCTTATTCATGTCCATGTCCTGGTGCTTCATGTAAATGGCAAGGTTCGCTGGATGCTGTAATGCCACATTTGATGCATCAGCATAAGTCAATAACAACACTACAGGGAGAAGATATAGTTTTCCTTGCTACAGACATTAATCTTCCTGGGGCTGTTGACTGGGTTATGATGCAATCTTGTTTTGGCTTTCATTTCATGTTAGTCTTGGAGAAACAGGAAAAATATGATGGTCACCAGCAGTTCTTTGCTATTGTACAGCTGATAGGAACACGCAAGCAAGCTGAAAATTTTGCTTATCGACTTGAGCTTAATGGTCATAGGCGGCGATTGACTTGGGAAGCAACTCCTCGATCTATTCATGAGGGAATTGCAACAGCCATTATGAATAGTGACTGTCTAGTCTTTGACACCAGCATTGCACAGCTCTTTGCAGAAAATGGCAATTTAGGCATCAATGTAACTATTTCAATGTGTTGAAATGGCAAGCAAACATTTTCAGGCCAGTGTTTAAAACAGTTGCATTTAATTTCGCAGAAACTAGGGTAACCATCTTTGACTGCCAAACACAAACTATTTGGTAGAGGGAGGCTAGACGTATATGAAGGTAAATAAAAGGAAAGGCTGTTAAATTGCAGGAAGCAGTTGCATGTAGTAACACTAATATATTTAAAATAAGTCAACAGTAAACCACTGAAAATATATATACACCCAAAATGGGCATCTTTTGTATTAAGAATTGATTCTACAGGAAATGTTGTAAAATAGTTCTGAAAACTTGTTTGTAGATTGATTGTACTGTTGAAAAGGATACTGTTGTGTTTGTTTTTTTTTTCCTTTGACTGACAAGCCATGTTGAGCAGTCTGGTCTCTTGCCGCTGCTTTTTCCCCTTAAGTCACTACATAGTATTGCTGCTGTTTTGTGTATATTTTTTGTGTATTTGCTAATTTTTATTAACTTCTAGTTTTTCATTAAATAAATGACTTTCTTTTCTGTAATTCAGGTTTTCCTCCTTTTTGTACCTTTTAAAAATTAATTGCAGGTGTCATCTTTTGATATGCATAATTGCTTATGGTAAAACTTATACTTCTGTACATTTGGTAAATTAGTCTTTCCCAGTAGTCCATTCATTGGTGATACTGTTCTTAATTCAGCTATTTTGTGAATGTATTCAACTCTAAAGAAGCAATTACATTGGAAGAATTATCAGAAAAACGGCTCCTTTAAAACAGGCCTAGATGATGATGTACTTTGTTATACCTTCAAACAGAAGTGAGGAGTTATTGGTTAACATCCTAATTAAAAAAACTGAAAATGCAGGCACACTTTAAAAATTTAGAAACTTCAGACACAAACTCATGCTTGTATTTTGGTTTTGCAGTACAAGGCATTGTCTTATGCAGTATTTGTAACTATAAAAACAGACCATTTAAAAAAAAAAAGGCAGTCTCAGAAAACGATGTTTTTGGTCTTTTATAATTTTGTCATTAAAAGAATACCTGGCAAATGAAAAACTCTTGTTTTTTGCTTTAGCACAATATTTGACTAATTTAACATTTTAACTCAACTTTGCTTGTTCTGGTATCCTTTGTCTGATTGTTACTAGAGAGAACCAACTTTATTTTCCTTAGTCATACTAATCTTGTATGTCATCCGACCATGTTAGTGATACGATGAACAGTAGACATCTAAAGGTCCATGCAATTCTCTTGCTTTTAAAGGCGTAAGTGGTATATTGGGGTCTTTTGCAGGTTGCTCGCAAGTTTGAGAAATTCACCTTGAATGTATGTCCGTATACAGCACTGAGATGGTTAATGTAAAAAAGAAATAATGTAAAAGAGAACTATTACATTTCAAACTACTTTAAAAGTATCTCTTTGCCAAACTTGCTGTTGGGAGGAGTAGAATGAATATTAGCTACTTTTTGTATAACATTAAAATATAATTTATTTACTATATATTGTCTAACTTTCTTGTCAGAAACTGATCTATGTTAAGACAACTCATTGAATTATTTTTGGTGCAGTGATTACACATTTTAGCCTGATGGGGTAAGTAGTCATACAGGTAAGGAATGTGAACCAGTATAGACTTTTATAGACAGGCCAATGCAGAAATAGTTCATTTTATATAGTTACAGAAGTAAACTTCAGAAACTTTTTTTAAAAAATATTGATGTTGCACTGTTCAAGAGGATAAAAACTTAAAGAAATTTCTTAATCTACTGTTACACTTTGATCTCTAGTTGAATACTTATTGTGGCAATTTTCTAAATGCAGCCTATTTAATCTTACCTACATTTACCCCGATTTTGTTTTTGCTATACCATGAGATGTTTGGCTACAGCAGTTACAACCTAGTGGCTGGTAGGTTTGAAATTAAGACTTTTTTTATTCAAATTTGTTTCTCATTATTGAAACTTACATTTCAATTCTAATTCTTTCAGAGGCTGTTGATAAATAGTGTGGACTACTTTTACATCCAGACTTTGGTTTGAGTAGTAGATTAACTCCTATTAAAATACATAGATTTGAGGCTTGCCTAAAATGAATTAGTAGGATGTTTTTATTTTCTGTGTTTTAAGAAACGGTCACTTCCTTAGATAGTAAAAGTTCTATGTGATGATATGGCTGGAACTGAGGAGATGATCGTTGTATGTTTGGTTGATTCTAATACGGTCTCAGATCTTGTAACAGAATCTATAAAAGCTTTTGTTTAAAGTTAGTGGAAGTCTCTTTACTTGGTGAGTCAAAACTATGATTTTTAAATATTCCTGATCTATGTAATAAAATGTTATTTATTTTTAAAGTTGCCCAAACACAACATTCAACAACCAGCTACCACATTTTACCAATCTGGAAACTGCAGTACTCCTCTGATCACAGTAGTTCAGGAGAGGCAGCAGCAGCGAATGCTTCCACATACCACCTAACCAGTCTCCCTTAGCCAGGTGTTTGAAGTAAAAAGGAGGACAGCTACATTTTACACTCCTGCTTAGGTGTTGGTTGCTGCAAACTACACCCACTTAGACTCCTTTACACACAGGATACTGTAATTACAGAAATGTCACCCTTGCTTTGAGACTTTTAGGGATATTTATTTAAAAAAACAGGAATCAGAGCATTTGCTTGGACCAAAGGTGCGAAGCCAAATACACATGGGGTGAGGTGCAGAGTAGCACCTTGAATGCTTGTAATGCATGCTACAGGAGCTGGGACCTCTTTCCTTCTATGGCCAAGGATCATTGCAACCCCTACCCTGGGAGAAATGACAACAGGAAATTTCTACAGCTGAGTTACCTTGGCTGGGGCTGGTCCCTGTCCTGGTCATGTTCCCCATCCCCCTGGACTGTGTAGTGGGGGTCTGATAGGAGGGAAGCTGTGGTGATTGTCAGTGGGGTTTGGGAAGCTGGATTCACTGCTCAAGCCACTGACTGCATGTTGTGCTCCAACTGTCCCAGGTAGACCCTACTGGCATACTCTAGGTACCTGGAGCATGTTAATGTAGTCCAGCAGGTTCCACTCAGGGTGGTTAGAGCACAACACCCAGCCTGGGGCTTGGATGGTGAATCCAGCAGTGCCCCAACCAATTCAAAGTCACCCCAGCATGCCTCTTATCAGAGCTCGCTATGCAGCCTATGTGTGAGAACACCCTCTCACCTGTGGCACTATGTGCTGTATTCATCAGACCTGAGTAGTGGTGAATGGTACATATGCTCCAGCTTGCAAACTTCATACATTTAACCCTAATTTCTTCATTACAGGTTGAGGAGGAAGGATTACAAAAAAATAGGGTTGGCATCTCTGTGGTGCAAGTATGAATGAGTCTTAGGGCTTGTCTATACTTACCGCGCTGGTTCGGCGGCAGGCAATTGAACTTCTGGGTTCGATTTATCGCGTCTAGTCTGGACGCGATAAATCGAACTCAGAAGTGCTCCCCGTCGACTCCGGTAATCCTGCTCGCCGCGAGGAGTACGTGGAGTCGACGGAGGAGCCTGCCTGCCGGGTCTGGACGGCGGTAAGTTCGAACTAAGGTACGTCGACTTCAGCTACATTATTCACGTAGCTGAAGTTGCGTACCTTAGTTCGATTTGGGGGTTTAGTGTAGACCAAGCCTTAGATTCACCTCAGAATTTCAGGCAAGGGTGTAGTTTTGCTTTGGGAGGAAATCTAACATTTAAATACATATACAAGACACATTTCAATGTCCTAGATGCAATTGTGTTTTGGGTTTAGTTAATAGAACTTTAGAAATGCTAACACAATAGTTTGAAAATAGGGCCAAGCTTCAGAGAATAATGTATATAAAATAGAATACACCACTGTCCACCAAAAAGCATAACCTGATGGGAAACTAAAGAGAGGTTCATCTGCATTTTTCTGGCACAATAATTTAACTTCCTTGCACTAAAGATAAGGTTGCTTTAGAAGAGTATGTCAGCATAAGTGTAGTACTTTCATAAAATGATTGCTGCTTGTTGTACTTTTAATAGGTAAACAGGACATGGGGTCTTAAAGGCTTAATATTAACTTGCCTCTACAATGATTTACGGTTTGGGACAGTTCAGAATTGAGTACAATTTAAGATAGACTTGAAAGGTGAGCTTGTCCCCACAGACAGTTGCTCATATCAATGGGCAATTTTAGAAGATTTTACATTAACTGTAAACACAATGGTGCTTTTAGACTTTGTCCCCCCTGACATTTAATGTCATTCATCAGATTGAGAATGGTTAAAATATGCTCATGAAAGACACTTTGGTTTTTTTACTGTTATGCAGTAAGACATTAGTGACCTATATTAAAGATGTTGTACTAGCACCCACCAGATTGAAAAATAGTGGTATTTAAAATGCCTAGGAATGTTATATTAGGAGTGACTATTTACATTAGAAAAGTTTACTCAATTATCTTTATTTAAAATAATGAAAGGAAGATTCTTCTTTATATTTAATATACTTAGAGAGAAAACTGTCAAACAATTCTATCCTAAAAACAAGTATTTGGATTAATGTGTTTACTACCATTAATAAAAACAACCACTAGGTGCATAGGCTTTGGGAAGGCAAATGTGAACGTTAACATTCAATGTTTCTCTGTGCAGACATTCCTTGCATGCATTTGGTTATTTAAGATGTTAAGTTATTGTTTGCACTATGCACAGTGATAGGTCTGTTATAGAGAGTTGCCCATAACATTCCTATAACTGAAACTACTATAATTCAAAGTATGTTATCCAGATTATACAGAACTGTATTATGAATTAATTAATTTAACTTTTCAAAGCTATTCTGAATAAAATTAATTGCTTCACACTGAGATGGGCCACCTACTTAGGAAAAATATTAGTTTGTGGGCAGAGGCAAGAACAGCAACTGCATTTTTGCAGCTTTCCAAGCCTGGTTATCTTGTAGTCGAAGTAGAAGGTTCTCAAAATGGAACTAGATAGCTGACACACCACACTACTACTAGCCACCATTTGAGTATCAATTACAACTTACATTCATCAAATACCACCTCAGTGCAATGAAGTTGTGACTTTGGAAGGCCTTTACTGTTTGTGTCAAGAATAGGAGTCACGTGATAGTAAGAAAGCATGAACAGCTGAATGCAATAAATAAAATAGTGTTCTTAATGCAGAAAAGTGTACAAGCAAAGGTGGTGGTATGCATAACCTCAATTTATTCACCTATTTAGATATTAAAAGCTATGATTAATAGCAAACATTTTTAAACAAACACTAAAGGACTTACCGTATATACTTGATCGTAAACTGGTTCATTTATAAGCCGACCCCCCTGATGGATAAGTAAAAATGGAAAATTTCTATGACCTGTTCATAAACCAACCGTATAATTCAGGGGTCAGCAAACTTTGGCTCCCGGGCCATCAGGATAAGCCACTGGCAGGCCGAGATGGTTTGTTTACCTCAAGTGTCTGCAGGCATGGAGGTAAACCTAAGTAAGGCCAGGATAGCAACGGGGGGGGGGGAAGAGAAAAAAAGCTGTGGGTCAGGGGTGTAACCTGTGACCACTCTCCCCATCCCACCCCACCTTATCGGGGGAGGACCAGTCTCTGGCCTGGCTGGAGCTGCTCCAGTGGGCCAGACCGGGTAGCACAGCTGTAGTGTGCTCCAGCAGGCTGGGGGGGCAAGCAGCATGGGCAGAAGTGGAGAGACTTGGCCCCACCTCTTCCCTGCTGGCTCTCCTTGCTCCCTCTATTGGGGGGGGAAGGGCTGTGTCCCACCTCTCCCTCACTATACCCCTTCATAAGCCAACCCCCTTCTCTGGTGCTTCCCTTTTTTATTTTAAAGATATACTGTTCATAAGCTGATTTTTTTTTTAAGAAAGTGGGGGGGGTGGAGTGCAACTGGTTTTCAACCACCAGTAGCTTTCTAGATCCCAGTCCCCCTCTGCTTATGTCTGAAAAATGCAGTATGTACTTCTACCAAGTTCAATGAAAATGAATGCACTTGCAGTTCAGCATAAACTATGCAAATGTAATTTGTGTACAGAATTTCTGCTGGGCTCTTCTAAATGTAGTTTTACAAATTGAGTGCATCTGTGAAACAAAAGTACAGTTTGCAGAGGGTTGGATCCCCAGGAAAATTGAGTCCTCACTAGGCTCTATAGTGGACAACACCTCAGTGGCCTTGTTGCTATGGAAGCTGATGGAACTCTATATTCCTTTAAACACTTTCTATATAAATCAACCAGTCACACAAAATATATCCATCCCATGCAGAATCTATGTACCCACCTTCTAATGGAAAAAAACATGCCTGTTTAAATAGAAAGCTCCTACAGTGGCTTTTGAGTTCCTGCTGCTCCTCTGAGTACCAGGTAAGGGCTACTGCCTTGTCCCTCCATGTCAAAAAGGAGCAGCTGAGAGTAGGAAGCTTTCAGGTTCCTGCTGGTCCTGTTTGTTGGTTTTGTTTAATGGTGTCCATTATTGATGTAGTGATGTCCGCTATTACATGTTTATAATACTTAGCACTTCACATACCTCAACTCTCACTGGAAGAATCTTCTAGCAATTTTTGGCACTTTCCTGCTTTGCAGAGCATTCCAGTGCACTTCTGAGGGCTCTCACATACCCAGGAAATAACTGGAATGATGGACATTCCTGTTCTGGAAGTTTACAGGTAAGGAGAAACTGTCATATTTGTCTTGATGCAATAAACATCTTTAGCCTTGTTTTTTAAGGCTATATTCCAAAGCTTGTATTGGGGGCCCTTGCTTGCTATGACCAGGGAAGATGAAGCCTTCTGAAGAAAGGGATTTTATACACCTCTACCCCGATATAACACAAATTCGGATATAACATAGTAAGGCAGTGCTCTGGGGCAGTGGGGCTGCACACGCTGGCGAATCAAAGCAAGTTTGATATAACATGGTTTCACCTATAACGGTAAGATTTTTTGGCTCCTGAGGACAGCGTTATATTGGGGTAGAGATGTACCTTCTTTTAATATAATTAATGGATCAGTTGTAAGAATGCCACTGAACAACTGTAGGATTAGTCCTATGACCCACAGAAGGCTTAATAGGTCTCCTTATACACTGCATATACAGAAACCAGTTGAAGCAAAATATTTTATAGTGTATGCTTCATTGTGATTTCCCATTATGGTATAGTTACCACCATCCCTTCACAAATTTTTCTATAGCAGACCCCCATTTGTCTTGAAGCCCACACCTTATTACAGTTTTATGAGCAGTGGTGGTATATTTCAAAACTAGTCATTCATTAGTAGAATGAGCTTGCAAGAAGTGGTCAAACCTTTATTAATCTAATACCAAACTGAAAAATTTAAGTTACAAAAATCAGCATTACTACAAGATTTTAATCTTTCTTCGTGAACTAACATAAGGAAAATAACATTCAGAGACAGAATATAATCATCTTCCCCATAATTTAAAACATCTGTGTAGACTGAAGTTGGTAGCTTAAATTTATAGCCATCACATAAGAGGGTGGAAAAATACATGAGGTTAAGAGACTAATATGATTCTTTACGAAGGGTAAAGGAAACTAGAATTTGACAATTAAGGGTATGCTTTTTCTATACTCTTGTTCTGAAATGTTTATACTACCACTACTATTTGAATTTTGGAGCTTTAAAACACCAAATCAAAATGTTCCCTTTTTTCATTTGAGCATCCAGCTTTTCCACAAGTGAGACTTAAGGAGTCTTTCTTTGTATAAGCCTGACCTTTGCCTCTCCCTTCTACATTTCCCCCCCATGCAAAAAAACCTACCTTTTTAAAAACTCATCTGATTTGTCAAATTTCTCATGACTGCTGCTCTGCCAGAAGAGCATGGTTTTAGAGATTCCAGGAGAGAATGAAGTCAAATACTAAACCGTTGGGAGGAAAAAAATTAAGAATCATCTTTGCATATTTTAAGAATCCTCTTCCAAAACTTCACATTAATTAAGAGGCCATAATTTCCAGTGGGGACTCACCCTACTCTCCATTAGCAGGTACACAATTTTGAAGGTGTGAATAGGTATTAGTGCAGGGGTGGGCAAATTTTTTGGCCCGAGGGCCACATTGGGGTATGGAAATTGTATGGCGGACCATGAATGCTCATGAAATTGGGGGTAGGGGTGGAGCCAGAAATGAGTTCAGGGTGTAGGAGGGGGATCAGGGCTGGGGCAGATGTGTGAGGGCTCTGGCAGGGGGTGCAGGGTTTAGGAGGGTGCTCTGCTGCACTGGGTGGCTTTAATAACTTAATCCTTATTTTATTCTTAAAGATAACTCTCAAACATTTATTATACCTTATGACATTCCTGTGAGAGAGAATCATAACTCTATTTTTCAGATGGGAAAATAGGTTCAGATGTTTAATCTGCTCAACTGTCCCGCCATGCAGTGGCAAAGCCAGGCTTAGAACCTTATGCGTAACGTGCTAGACGACACTTCTCATGCAGATATCATTTAACCATTAAAATGGGGATAAGACATGCTTCACAGAAGTGATTAATCAATATTTGTATGTCTTTTCCAATATGCTATATACTCTCCCACAAGTCTTCACTTTTCCTGACCCGATTTGGTCGCCTATCTTTTTTTCCTGTTGTGAAGGAGTAGTTTTGGTGGCATTCACTGGGTGAATATTTGTGCATTTGACTAACTCTGGTTCATGAAATCTTGTATTTTATTCCACAAACAAACTCCATTTCATTTATCACAAATATGTGTATTAAATATTTGTGCCGATTAAGGTGAGATGGGTCTTAAGTCAAATTTTAACCACTGTTCCCCCATACCTGAAATTTTACCTATTGGAAAGTTTTAGGGTGAGGTCCACAAATGCATATCATATCACACATTTCCTAGCTTTTTGCATGTTAACAGTTTGGTCTAGAAACTCTAAATATCATCTGGGTGTGTTAAAAAAATACAGCACTGACCATTAAGATTAGGTGCTTAAAAAGTCCTTGAGCCAAAAACGAACAAAATAGGGAATATAGGACACTGGCAATGGTATTTGAGAACAATGAAGGTGGTTATGGTGACTTATGCTTTACATTTCTTTTAAATGTAACAACTCTGAAATTCTAATATTTTAACAAATGTATTTTTGCAAGGTTTTTAGACAAAACATTAATGCACTTCAACTTTTTTTTTGCTGGGGAAGTAAGCAATATTCACTGATAGCTCAGCTGAAAAATTAAGTGCATTTATTTTAATTACATGAAGTTTTATATAACACATCCGTTGCCTAATCACTAGAGCTATCATTAAACCCGTCTGTATACAGTAGTAACAAAACTAGAGCATCAGAGACATTAGGATCTAGAGCAAAAGTGTTTAACTGGGTTAGGTGCTTTTTTGAAAAATATATCCCTAATCTTGGTTTCTGCTTGGGTGTGCAAGCAGGTATGTGTACTCTCCTCCATTAATGACTGACATGCTGCTGATAGAACTGGCATATGTAAAACTTGTTTGGTAAAGTTGCAGGTGCACTTTTCTATTATTAATAGTCAAGTAGAACTGGGGTTGAGGCCCCACTGAAAGTAAGGCCTTAACTTTTAATGGGTGACACAGCACATCACAGTGAGGCCTCAGTATTTGCCCTCATGTTTTATATCACCGTAGATCAAATTTTTACTATCTGACAGTTGAATGAGTGTTTAATGTTGATGTACAGGATACCTCACCCAATCCGCTTAAAGTTTACTATTCAAGCGCTCAAGTCCAGTCTTGATTGAAAATCCCCCATCGAAAGCTGCATTCAGAACTTCATCCAGGCAGCTTGCCGTAACAAAATTCAAGTCCTGCCGCACATTCACTGCAATCTCTTCAAGGTCTTTTTCATTTCTTTGAGGAATGATAATTCTCTTCAGTCCAGCTCTATGGGCTGCTAGGACTTTGTCCTTAATTCCCCCAACCTATTAAAACCACACAATTTAAAAAGAAAAGTTATTTAGTTATGATGCTTTCAGCAAAGCAGTCACAAGAGGCATTTTGAATTAAATATTAAGTGAACAAGACAGGATTCCAGATGTACATCCATAATTCATCATACTGAGAGCTTAAACTGCAGGGACATATTTTTAATGGAATGTTTTTCTCCTAAATCACTTTTTAGGAGAAGGTAAATTTGAAAGTGTTGGCAATCATTTTAGCTCCTACGGGTAAGGCAAACGCATTTATTAGTCTTAAACTGCTAGAATGGGAAATATAACATGATTATTGTAAAAGATTTCAGCTACATAGCTGCAAGAATCTCAAACATGAGATCTTACTTATATCCTTGCACCCATCAACATAGGAAAAACACTTCTAAAAAGGCATCTGTCGCCCTTATGATTCCCATTTTAAGGTAACACAAGGCTGGACTCTGCCCTGCTGGACCCTCCAGTCTCTGGCTCTTCTTTTCTATACATGGTAAAGCACTGTGTATCTTAGTAGCATTAACAACGGAAAGAAAGGCCACTGTTTGTTTCAGGTGTATCTGCCTCCCTCTACAGCTTACTTAGGGCTTGTCTACATGACAAGTTAGTGTGCGCCATGTAGACAAGCCTTTATTTTAAAAATTATCCTTGTTCAAAAGCAAAAAAAAAAAAAACCTGCCAAAAAATGCTTATGCAGACAGCTATGCTTTTCAAGCAGTTGAAAATACATACTGTAGCATATCCAAACTACAGCCAAGCATCCACTATCGCTATAACTGTGAATCTCTACACTTAGGGACAAAATATGTAGCCTCTCTCTATGTTTAATGCAGTTCATGTGCATGTAATCTTAGGAATTTGTATATACAGTTAATGTATGCAATTGTCAGTCTTTCCTTCCATAACTGCAAACATAAGGACTTGACAAATAACTTTTCTGAAATGCTCAAAATTTGTTAGTTGAAGTTGTTACTGGAATTAAGAAGCCAGATCCTCAGCCTCTGTAAATTGCTGTAGTTCTGTTGATGTCAATGAGTTACTTTAACTAACTTATAGCAGTTAAGGATGAGGCATTAAAGAGCATTCCTTGGATACAAATCAATGGGTTTTAACAGGCCATTCTTTGCTTAGGAAAAAGTATTCCAGATGGGAAAGTGAACACAAAGAATGGACTTAGGTTGGCAATCTTATAAATCCTAAACTAATGCAAGTCCTTGAGAAGGAGATGGGAGAGCTTCCTTTTGCTATGATGAAGCAGAGTTAGGAGAGTGTAAAATTAGTATTCTGTATTTTTAATACCAAAATTGAAAACCAAACAATCCTGCTTTTCACACAATAAAAACAGGGTCCAATCTTGCTAACACTCACTATCTGCCATAAGGCATCCTACTATGTGAAGTCCTTTTGAATTCAATGGGATGCTCATGTGAGTGTCAGCAGGATTCTGGACCCTCAAGAATCAGTTTTCAGAAAGGACAGAGTCATTTCTCAAAAACAGTTAATAGGGGCATGTGTTTGCAGTCTGCACTTAAGAATGACCTGGCCAAAAAAACAGTTATGCTGTGCCTGATGTCTCGTTATTTAAGGTGCAACAACCCTACTCAATTTGGTAATCTGAATTAAGCCTACTATGATGACATATCTGAATTACTGCAACACCCTCTTCTCGAGTGCAAGCCTTAACAAATGCAGTCATATCCACTCAGAATGGTGCTATAAAGATCATTCTCCTAGCCTGTCACATGTCCAACAAACCTAAGTGGCTTGTCTTCACTTTCAAAGCCATTCACAACATGTCCCCACCCTATTACCTCTTCTGAGATGTCAACTCCTAGTTATGATCAGCCCATGATGCCAGCCTCCATTGCCTACTTGTTTTGTGCCTTTTTTGATGCTGCCCCTCATGCTTGGAGGTGCTCTCCCTAAATAGCTACAAATCTACTCCACTCATTCAGATCCCTCTAGCTCCCTGATACCTACAAAACATAACCATGATTAGGCTGCTTGTGTGCTGAGACTACAACCTCTCATGCTGACCAATATTGCCTCATTATTTCCTTGAATTCCCATTGGTCTGTCCGTATCCACCTGTTTTTTGTCTTATGGTTAGATTGTAAGATCTTTGGAGCAGCAAATGTCTTTTTGTTCTGTTTGTACAGTGGGGACTAGAGCTCCAAAGTGCTATGATAATACAAAAAAACCCAAAACCCCATAATGGATGTTTTTGCACTGCCCTCCTAATGGCATGGTTTAAGGTCATTTTTAAATTGTGGAAAATACTGTTCTCACGTTGAGCAGTACAGATCTATAACTAAATTACAGCCAACTTACCTTCATTCTTTATGTTCATAAAGAGCTTAGGGCTTGACTAAAGCCAGATTTTATCTACACTGTACTCAACACTATGGGGGAAGAAAAACATTTGTGGTTTAGGTTGAACTTCTGCCCATAGCACATCTGTGATGCCTACATATGCTAATTGTACAAATCAAATGTATGCTATTATCACCGGAGTCTAATCCCCTCTCCATGGACTACAATAATAAAAATACCCTGTCAATACCAATAATTTGATTTTTTTTTTCATGAACTAATGCTTTTTCATTTGCAACACACATGTAGGAAATGTAAATGGATATTATGAATTTTAGGAATTATTAGAAAAGGAAATTTGTACTTGTAAAAATAATAAATTGAAGTTATATGTTCCACTGAAAATATCACCCATATACTAACAACTTTTGCATGCAAATTGCATAAAATCAAGTAACTTTCATAGTGTACATCTGGATGTGAATTAGGACTTTTCTATGCATCTGTGCTAATTATACTGAAAGACAATGCAGGGCTGTCCAGGAATGAACTGTAGCAAGATTACAAGGTTTACACCTGGGTAAGTAGCTTTGAAGAAGATTACTAATTCATCTTACAGAGGGGGCATTAAGAGGAAAAAACCCACAGTGCTATCTTAATATAGGTTAACTTTTCCAAATGAGACTTACTGGAAGAACGAGGCCTCTTAGTGTAATTTCTCCAGTCATTGCTACATCTGAACGCACCAGTCGCCCACTGAAAAGTGAGGCAAGACAGGTTACTATGGTAACTCCAGCAGATGGTCCATCTTTTGTGACGGCTCCAGCTGGGAAGTGCAGATGGATGTCGGTGTTGTCAAGGAGATCAAAACTTCCAGAAGCTTAAAGAAAAGAGAATGGTTTTGAATGTGGAAAATTCAAACCTGTGTTGTCCCTGGTCTTTGTTCTAAAAACGCCACTGGAGAACTAGAATTTTTCGCAAATGCATTATTTGAGAACAGTACACTTAAAAATTAAAAAAAAAAAAAAAAAAAAAATCCAATGAACACACTACATTGCCCCACAAAAATCTAAACTTTTCTAGGCCAAAGGTAGCTTGCTATCAATATTAAACAGGATAAAAATCTATGATTTAAAAACAAAACAAAACTGGATATTTTAAGCCCTAACCTTATTACAATCTCTTAAAATATTTAAGTAGAAATAAATATGCTGAATCCATGAGCCTTCATCAAACATTTTGAGTTAAAGGCTGATTTTCTATATAAAGAATTAATCAGGGGTAAAATATCTGACTCAGGGCAACACACTCATGTATTTCATCTGGATCATCCACTGAGCCTATGTGGCTGGTCTCAACCTTCTATTTTATAGCTTCTCCCTACCTGAGCTCTGATTGGCTTAGTTCACAATATAAAAAAGTCACTAGCAAAGCACCTGGAACCAGAGTTTGTTGAAGTGCAAAACCAGCTTTTGACAGCAATAGCTTCTTCTGCAGGCACAAAAAGAGTATCTTCTTCATTTATTCAAAGTTGAGAAATGAATTGGAAGTTGAAAAAGTAGGAAAATCACTTCTTTTCCACTTCCAATCAATAAAAACGAGGGAGGGCATGATATCTGCTAGTTTTACAAGTTTGAAGGACAGCCTAAATAACTTAGAAGACTGTTTCATTTTCAAGAGACATAGGCAAGTAGGAACTCCAGCTCCAGTCACTTTCATTTAGGCATATTTGAAAATTTTCCCAAGCTGCCCTGAAATAATCAGTTTAATTCACTGACTAAAGTAATCCCTCTGTTTAATAATAAATCATTTAGCTGTAGATGTGGACCACCTTTTGAGAAGAAGAAATTTGTGTGTCCAAAACATTTAAGGTTGTTTTGTTTAATAAAAATAAATTATGTCCTGTTCTATGTTTAATTAAATTCCAGTTACCATTCTAATTCAGCACAACACAAATCATGAGCAAAAAGTTAATTATCTAGTACATAAGCAATATATCATTCACCATTTTCTAATACACTAAAATTGTACAATTAATAAGAATCTGAAAATATTAAGCTATAAAAGGGCTTAAATAAATGTATATAGTTATAACATATCCTCTTAGCTAGCAAAAAAAATGTACCAAATCTAGTGTAAAGGCTCTACTTAGCTGTAAATCAACATGTTTGAATGGTTATAACAACTAATGAGCAAAAGCACCTTGTTTTAGAAAATAACTGAAGAACAAATTGAAAAATTTATTAAAATCAATTATTTAAATTGAGATGTTTCTCTTGGTAATTTAAATTGCCTTCATAAATCCACCCTGATACTAAATTCCTAGACAAAAAATATAATCAAGACTGAATTAATATTGTAAACAGTTGTACTTACAAAAATTTTAAAATGTTTAGAAGTCAGGAAATTCAGAGTGTTGGTTAAAACTCAAATACTTAAAAGTCAGGAAATGAGAACATGGAATCAGTAAAGGTCTAATAATTTCTGGAAATAGTTATAGGTTCAAAATAAACCTTAACTGTAATCTGTACCCCAACAACCATCTTTCAACTATGGACCAAAGTCTTCACAGCTCCAGAGAAAATGACTTGTGTACCTGTAAACTAACCTCACTCTTAATGAAGATCTGAATGAAGTCTACATCTTCCTCTTGCCATTCTGATATGGGACACAGAACACATCTCTTATTATCACACAGAACTCTGCTTCTATTTACCACTCTAACTGATACACCCTCTAAAGATTATAGGTTGTAGCCAAGCCAGAAATCGTTCATCTGGTCCTTGGATGCTCTGCTGAAACTACCAACAGGAGGTCTGAGAGTCCTGTTTATTGTGTTGGTTTTTACTATTTGGCTACTCAGCTCCCCAGAACAACAGATCACCAAACCATGCTGCAGTCTTCTAGAACTTTTGATTTTCTTGATCTTCTTCATACTAGATTTAAAACTTATTTTCAAACTGAAGTCTTTTTTCAGGCTATTGATGGATAAAAGATGCTTGTGCTTCACAGTTTAATAGTTCTAGTACAACCCAAACAGATAAAAGCCAGTGAAAAAGTCTATGCCTACAAGGCTTATTAAACAAAGTTTTTTTAAAAACCTACTTTTTATAGAAATAGTTTCTTTATTTTATAGAACAAAAAGTGTTCTTTCTGAAAAATAAACACTGCCCGGAGGCATTTAACTCTCAAACACCATAGCACTGGGTTGCTAACAGAGAACCAGAAAGCAAGCAAGTAGTTTAATGATGAAAAGCAAATTAGAAATTTAAAATAGATAGAATTTTAAACATCTACAGTTGCCTTAAATAAGTAAGGCCACTTAATAACAAAATAGAACACTGGGCTGAATCCTCAGCTATAGCCAGAACTGGCTAGCCATCAGCAGGCACAGAAGGAACCACAAATAACCAATTTGTGGCTGGTTTTTTTTTGGCTGGTCTCATTAGAGGAGCCTATTTCTCCTTTAAGGTAAATATAATTGTTCTAATGTGTCTTAGATAATCAATTAAATAAGACAACTTTTCATATAAATCATCAACCTATTTGTTATTATAGTTCATTATTGAAAAATATAATGGTACATTTTGGGTCATCACAGAAACATCATAAGCCTTGCATAGGAATTAAAACAATTGCTTATATGCATCTCTTTGGTGAGAGGTTACAACAGGTATTCATCTCTATGTTGCATTAGGCTCACACCAACATTCTTGTTTTGTGTTTTTCACATACCATTAGTTAGCTGGTATTTCTTTGCATTGCTACGCAGCCAGCTAATTGCAAGATGTGCTGACTCCTTCATGACATCCCCCAGCTGTCCAGTTAGAGTAAGCTGACCTTCTCCATCCATTTGGCTGGCTTCTACAAACATGATCTCACCTCCTAAAGGAGTCCAAGCCAAGCCTATGGCTACTCCTGGCTGATTCAAACGTTCAGATACCTAAGAGAAAACAACTCAGAGTAGAACACAATTTTTAAGAAAGAACAACTCAGCAAGGCTTTGAAAATATTTTTGAAACTCTTCACATTCACAGCTTAAAAGTTAAAACTCTTAGAATAAACTAATTTGCTAGGGCAGGGATTTTACTGATGCCTTCAAAGCAACTACTAAGTTTTAGACAGAAAGGCTAAAGGCAAGTCTCCAACCTCATATTTAATTCCACCCTGCAATAATTCTCCCCAAGTGTGAAAATAAGTTACAGCATTAGGGCACGTCAATGGATGCGCTAGCTCTCATCTATGACATGCAGCTGGGCAAACAGGTGCTGATCCAGAGTCCACTTAAATCAATGGGAGTTTTTCCTTTGACTTTAATGGACTTTGGATCAGGCCCATTCTGCACATACTTGGTGCAATTTTTAAACGAGTTCAATTTGACTATGTTCACCCCTCTCGTGTCTGCTTTTTATGACTCTTCTACCATGAGAGCCTTACCTACATGAACAGTTGCCCCAAAGTTTTTTCAAACAATGTTTTCAATAGAAACATTTGCAATTTATGCTGCATTGTATTGGGAACAGGAACTACATCATGAGATGCCTACCAAACATCACTCACTGCAAACCTTTGTAAAGCATTTCAAACAAATAATACATTGGAGAAAACTGCAATCTGCTAGAGGACAATGTGTGAACAGAGAAGATGTAAAATTAATTGACTCAATTATTCATCACAAATGGTTTGCACAGTTCTACTAACTAATAAGGCCTTTTCCCTTAGGAAGTACCATGTGCCTACTTCTGAACAACATGATTTTGATCAATTTGAGATGAGCATAAGGAAGGGTGTGTTGTACTCCTGTTTATTTTATTGATCAAGGCTCCTCCTACTAAATGGATATCCAAACACAATTAACAATGCAATATTCAGGCAGTAATCCATCCCATCACCAAAGTATAATAAAAACTGAGAATGCAAAGGTTTCTTAATGTTTGGCTTTCATAAGTTCCCTTTCCTGTCTAACAAGTACAAACAACTTCCTTTCTGCAGTTAAAATGAGTGAACAACTGTTCACTCTACAGCTGGTGCCAGTGATTACTGGCCAAAAGGATGTGCATGAAAAAAACGCAGCTAGACACTGCTGCAATCAATGCAGCGGGTGTCAATTTAGTGGGTCTAGTGAAGACCCGCTAAATTGACAGCAGAGTGCTCGCCGGTCGACTCCGGGACTCCAGCTCTCTGAGAAGAGGAAGATAAGTCAACTGGAGAGCGTCTCCCATCAACACAGCGCAGTGAAGACACCGGGGTAAGTCAACCTACACCACGTTGACTCCAGCTACGTTGTTCATGTAGCTGGAGTGGCATAACTCCCAAAGGCAGCTGATTCTCACACTGTCTCTCAGAGGGATTGTTCTGCTTCCAAGCCTAGCCATTTTAGTCATGTGCAGCCACACACTTATCACATGTGTAAGAATTAAAGTTAGTGTAAGGCAACAAAATGCATTTGAAGCTATTATCCCCTCAGAAAAGGGAACTTAAACTCCACACACTCCTTTTCAGTACTTTGACATTTTCGATTTTGTGTTCTATACTTTGTCTGTGCTGCAAGGCGCTTAGTACCATGCTACACTTGACCCATAGCCAAGTGTGATTTTCTTAGTATTTACTTTATTTTTCAGTTTGATGGCTCAGATGTGAAAGCTGTATCTGTGCTACCTGAGACTGGCTCCTGAATTATATCCTGCTTGCTACGGATTGCTGCTCCTTAGTTGAAGGGGAAGGGGCAGGATGCAATATCAGAGGGCACAGTGCCTTTGGATTCAGGCAAGACATTGAGCTGTTTGCATTTATTCACAGGTCAAGTGATTAGTTAGAATTTTTTTTAAAGAAAGTTGTTTGTACATAAGAGACTTGATTTCCCTTATATGGCATTCTTAAAAGCAACTAGGATCATTTAATCTACTAAAAACTCTACAAGACCTGTAGCCTAATAGAAGCTACAATGACCAATCCCTGGAATTTACTTTAGCTACAGTATGCATTTTTCTCATCACATATTATTAGAGTATTAAACAACAAACATCTGTTCACCCA